GTGTGTGTGTGTGTGTGTGTGTGTGTGTGTGTGTGAGAGAGAGTAGAGCACCGCTGGGAAAGAGACGAATGTGTCGCGGCGAGATTCCCCTGCGTAGGTGCCCCGTCCTGTTTCCTCTCCTTGCCTTTCCTCGCTCGGCCTGTCCAGGAGTAAAATCCATGATGAATATTCTCACTCCGCACCACAGGCAGGACGCAACCTCCTTATCCAAAGGGCCTGGCGGTGCTCGAATTGTCATGGGAAAGCAAAGCGACCCCCCGCCCCACATTCACTTTGTCTTGCCTGCCTCGTCTCTAATTGATTTAAGGCCATAAAACACCCGTGCTGTTCCCACAGGCAGGACACAACCTCCTTATCCAAAGGGCCTAGCGGTGCTCAAATTGTCATGGGAAAGCAAAGCGACCCCCCGCCCCACATTCACTTTGTCTTGCCTGCCTCGTCTCTAATTGATTTAAGGCCATAAAACACCCGTGCTGTTTACGCAGCAGAGATGGGGACACACGTTGCGGTATAAAGCTAGGTGGTTGCAGTCCTCATCCCCATATTTCCACAGCGCTCTCCCCCAGAAGACAGCAAAAGATTCCCGTGCGACCTGCTCTGTCACTTTTTTCCTCCTTGTTGATAAAAGACTCTGTAATTGGGTGTTTCTGCAACTGTGCGCACTTTTGGCCCTGTGGACTTAGAAATTAAACTCACTTACAACACATTTTTCACTTAAATGGTTAATTTTTTGTTTGTCTGCTAACAGCGTCCAACAGTAGGAGAAAAGGACAGTTTGTTGTTTTTGCCCTTGTTGTGCAAACAGTTTAGCAAATATTTTTTCCACATTTTTGAGCGTTGAAACTCTCATTTTGCTAAGGCTTATGTATATGCCTAATATGCCTATTTTTGCAAAATTCTAAAGTGACATTGGTGGAGAAGCCAATGCCAAAATGCACTGCGGTGAGCTTAGTCTACAAAAAAATAAAAAAATAAATAAAAATCTGTTATTTCAAAATTATTTATTATACATAAATTTACACTAATAAAAAAAAAAAAGTACTGGTAACATTTTAAAAATGTATACTGTGCATTTGCTGCCTTTGTAGAGTGTTCCAAATCGGTCACTCTTCAGTAAGGATGCTACCTTAAAACTGCGATATACTTCAAGCAAAATTGAAAAACAGGCCAAAATGAGTTGAAAATATAGGCATATCATATACAGTATGGGCAAAAAATCCAGTATTGTGCATCCCTATTCTCTGGTGTAATGATTCACTCGTTGACAGTTGAAGGCTGCTCATTTATTGCATGGACGTACTAACGCACAATTCCATTGGATGATAAATTATCTTTAACAATGTCATTAAACCGAATGTATGAAGGAAACTGTTAAAATAACCACTGCATTAACAATAACCAAAATAAGAGCACAAGGTTTATCTGTTAATCAGATGCGTGAAAGTTACGTTCGTTACTATAGCAAACCGACATTAGGTGCATTTTCTTTTTAGAATCATCATTTGCCGATAGGAAGGAAATGTTAAATACTGTAGCATTTTATTTAATGAAAATAAAATGAAGCTCACATCATACAAAGGTGTGACATAAAATGGTAGCCTATACAGGTGCATCTCAATAAATTAGAATGTCGTGGAAAAGTTCATTTATTTCAGTAATTCAACTCAAATTGTGAAACTCGTGTATTATATTCTAATTTGTTGTGAATTGGTGGGTTTTTGTTAAATGTGAGCCAAAATCATCACAATTAAAAGAACCAAAGACTTAAACTACTTCAGTCTGTGTGCAGTGAATTTATTTAATACACGAGTTTCACAATTTGAGTTGAATTACTGAAATAAATGAACTTTTCCACGACATTCTAATTTATTGAGATGCACCTGTATATATATTAACACTATAGACAATAGTTAACACGAAATAATACTTTTAAAGCCTTTTTTTTTTATTTATCTTGCCTTACATACATTTCTACATATGCCATATGTCATGCCATAGCATAATTAAACTAACATCTAACAATGGACATTTCTTTTTTTTCTTTTTTTCTTAAAGACCCTAAGATTTTAACATTTGAAAATTGAAAGTCAGAGTTTTGGAAAAGTAGCAAAAAAATAAATAAAAAGAATAATGAAGGTAAAACATATTGAAGACAGTAACAAATCAAAGGGAAAAAAAAATGGAAACCTGTTAATTTTCATAAAATTCAACCCTTGAGACACCAAAGCGCCCACAGTTGAAGAAACACCCATTTACAGCGACGTGTTTGAAGTGCGTATAGGCAGGAATGTACGATTGTCTCTTCACACATAAAGAGCATTTGTATGCAGAGAATCAACCTTCCTCACTGGTATTAGATTGAAATGCTCTCCAGGCCCTCCAAAGCTTTTGTGGTATTTTGTCTCTAATTACTGCGGTAATTTGTGTGTACAAAGCAGATTCTCTTAGGTGCTAATGATTTTTCTCCACCCTTTGTTTTCCTTACACCTTCACACCATGGCAGCTGATAGCTCTGAACACTTGCTCGCAAGTTGTTAGCGTCGGCAGCGCCGTGCTCTCTGCATGTGTGTGTCGTGTTTTTGAGTGGTTGATAACTCGGAGTGTAGTTTTAGCGTGATTTTATAGTCTCAGCCATGCGTAATTGTGTTCGGGTCTCAGGAGAGCGCTTGCATTTAGAAGCGTAGGGTAGAAAAAATGGTTAATTACAAGTATTTTATTTCCCTCCTGTGTTTGACAATAGAGAGTGATATCATTGCTATTGTCATGTATAATTATTTTAGATGGCACTTTATGATGTATATTCAGGAATAACTATAAAAGGGGTTTTGTTTATGCGTCAACCTTTGTTAAAAGAGTATTCAAAGCTATACAGCTTTGTGCATCAAATGTACAGCTGTACAACAAATACAGCTCTATGAATAGTTTCTTTGACATACTGATGATAACCACAGATAATAGTTCCTCAGTGTGTAAAAACAAACACAGATTGTATTTACTGTAATGCATTTGCAAGTATGGCTTGTAGGTGTTCTTCTGTGCACAGTTATATCTTACTTGAGCTGTGAAGTTGTATAATTCGGACTTTTAGTGTTGGGACTATTGTCCTAATTGGATAAAGTTTTGGTTTTGCGGTAATTCCTGTAGTTTGGTCGATTTAAATAATACTTTAAATTGTGCTTTTATTGCACAAGCATCATTTTTAGTATTGTGACTGTACTTTTAAAATGCATGTAACATTTTTCATGTGTGGTCACATTCTCGTGTGTCATTCCATATTTGTGATATTTAGATTGAGATTTTTAGATACTTAAGCCTGCTTTCGGCCATCACAAAGAGATATTGCTGTTTTTCGAACACCTAATGTACAAGTTATATATATATATTTTTTTTTTTTTAAATGGACTTCCATTGTAAGTGCATAAAAAATTTTTTTAAACAAAAAACACATTTAGGCAAGGAATATTTAATTATTTTTTAGCTTGCATTGAACTCGGAACATTCCTTTAAAAAATAATGAGTCATGAGCAGGATATGAAAAACAACACTCGTTTGTTCGGCAGAAAGTACCACATTCAAACATACATTTAAAACAGAAAGAGGATAGTGTGCATATTTGGGAGAGTTTTTTGTGATCATGCAGCTATGAGCCAGCGGTTGTCCTCCTCATTTTTCCAGTTTTTACCATACTTTCAAAACAAAAATTAAAATAGGAAAAATATGCAATATGAAAATAATTGAAGACAAAATGTGTTTTACTGAGAAAAAACAAGATTTGGTTTTTAAAAAGCCTTTTTCCAAAAGGTACATCTGGAAAAAGGGGGGTCGTCTTATAATCAGGGTCGTCTTATATTCGGGCCAATACGGTATATAGTGCATTAAGTATTTTTAATATATGGACTATTCCTTGTAATGTACCTCATAATGCATTGTATGATCTCATGAATAAATGTAACCACAGTTATAATACTTATGTATTCATTGTTTCACCTTTAGAGAGTATAATTCATTAAAACAAACCTTCAAATATTGTAATGCATTTTAACTTTGGTTACAGTTATTTATGAAAATATGTAAGGCATTACAACATAAGGGTTATGACTTATTAATAGGAAGACCTTAAGCCCCTGGAAAAATGACTGCATTGTTTGTCCCTTGCTAGCTGAGCTGGTTGCTGTGTGTACACGTGTGGATCCATTAGGAGCAAATCCATCTGTATTCTCAGCCCTGAAGAGGGGAAATGAGAAATGGGTGTTAAAGCAGGCAGCTCACTGCAGAAGCCATTATCTGTGATGTCCAACCCTCAGGCCAGGACACCACAAAGCAGCTTCTGCCTCAGGACTGTGGGAGTTTGTCTCTATTCGTCTCATATTGCAAATCAACACGGTCGTCCTGAAGGACCACCGCAGCCTGCGTTTCTTCTCAAAACAATTCTTTCATCTAAAAGCAAGCCGCAGCATTTATTGGCCTAACTGTATTAGCTTAAATTTGCGACTGTAATTTAAAAGATGAGGCTGCCATTGGCGAGAGTCAGGAAAATGCTATAGGCCTATGTGATCAAAAAAGATTCACAAAACAGTTACACAAACTTGTGCATGAGTTAGTGATTTGAATCAGACTTGCTCAGTCTGTGAATTGTTGCTACTGAGTTTTCAAGCCTAAAAAAAATAAAATAAATAAAAATCATTTTTGATTT